GACTAGGGTGCGCCTGGTCAAAGCCACGGTGTTTTCAATTGCTTCTCATGCACCTGAGAGTTGGACAATCATTAAGATCAATGCTTTTGAACTGTGGTGTTGAGGAAGAGTATGGCGTACCCCGCACGGACTGCCTAAAACAGAACAGGTCTGTCCGGGAGGAAGTGCTGCCAGGGAGCTTCTTTGAGGCGAGGCTGGTGAAGCTTCATCTCACATCCTTTGAGCGTGTTGCCAGGAGGGGCCGGTCCTTGGAAAAGGACGTCAGGCTGGAAGGGTGGAGGGTCAGAGGCAGAGAGGAAGACTTTCGACAAGATGGTCTGACAGAGTGACTGTAACAACGGACGTGAGTGTGGCGGAGACGGGGCAAATTCCAGGTCTGTTTTTCATGGAGTCGCTATGAGTGACAGCTCCATGGCACATAACACCACCACCCCCGTCAGCACTTAGATACGGTGAAGCAGATCTGGTGGGAAAGTAGAAAACAAAACAACGATCAAAAGACAAGGTGGTCGGAGTCAGTCTTGGGTTTAAATCCCAGCGTTGCCACTACTGCCCGGGAGGGGCTTACCTGTCTGGGTCTCAGTTTCCACATCTGTAAAATGGGTCAGGTAGAAAGAGCCAACTGTATGTTACATGATTGTTGTGATGGCTAAATGATGACTGCAAAGAACCCAGCATGTGTCTGGCACGTAGTGGGCGTCCAGTCAAGCAGGGATCCTTAGCTTATCCACGACGTGAAAGGAATGCTGTTGTTTCTATCCCAAAGGTTTGAAAAGCTACCTGAACATTATGATCGGTCTCTCGGTAGCCTTCACCTTGCACCTCCGTCACAAAAGGACAAATACTGCATGATGCCACTGTTGTAGAATGGGGCTGACATTGGGGTTGGGGGCAGACTGAGAAAGATGGGTTTAATAATGTATACTGCATTGAAACAGATGAGGGAAAAAACTGTTTAAAAGGGATATGTGATTAGGTATTTTTGTCATGACAGGAGTCAGAGCGAAGGCTGCATAATGGAGTGGACTTGGGGGGAGGGATTGTAAAACAATGAAATAATTTTCCTTTTGCTTTTCCAAGAGGGTAGTGTAATGGGGAGGGGGGAGGGTTGGAAGGGGAGAAAAGTGCAACAATGAATGAATGGAAATCCAAAGTCTGTAAATTTTCATTGAAATTAATAATAAATTTTTAAAAAATAAAAAAAACAACAATTAAATGGAACACATGAATATTGACATACTAGGCATTAGTGAGATATGATGGACCAGCTTTGGACACTTTGAATCAGATAATCACATGGTATATTATGCAGGGAATGAAAAACAGGAAGAATGGTATTGATTTCATAGTCAAAAATTCAAGTTCTGTCCTGAAATACTGTGTTGTGAGTGATATGATAATATCCACATGCATACAAGGAAGACCCTTTAACAAAACTATTATTAAAATATATTCTCCTGCATCTAGAGCCAAAGAGGAAGAAACTGAGAATTTTTTACAGATTTTACAGTCTGAAATTGACCAAATATGCAATCGGGATGCATTAATGTTTAGAAGAGGTCATGACCCTGGAGACATTATTGCCAATGCCAGATGGATCTTGGCAAAGTACCAGAGGAGTATATGTGTGTTTCATTGATGATGCGAAGGCTTTTGGTGTGTGAATCAAGTTGTGGCTAATCTTGAGAAGAATGGGAATCCAGCCGTCCAGCAGATTCTGTGTTTATTACTGCTGACCAAGTGAGCTGGGGAAGCGGCCCCGGCCATGGCCTTCTGACCGCAGACTCGGACCTGGGCACTGAGAGGGTGCACAGAGGGGCCAGGTGATGCCAGGGCGCCCTGGGGGGTTCCGGAACTGCTGCCCTGGGGGGTTCCGGAAGTGGCGCCCTGGGGGGTTCCGGAAGTGCCACCCTGGGGGGTTCCGGGAGGGGGCGCTCTGGGGGTTCCGGAAGTGCCGCCCTGGGGGGTTCTGGAAGGGGGCGCCCTGGGGGGTTCCGGGAGGGGGCGCTCTGGGGGTTCCGGAAGTGCCGCCCTGGGGGGTTCTGGAAGTGGCACCCTGGGAGGTTCCGGAAGTGTCGTCCTGGGGGGTTCCGGAAGGGGGCGCCGTTCAGCAGCCGCG